TCTAGTTTGACAAACTCATGATTCATGAGTTAGAAGTTGGCAGAATAGACTTCAATGTCCATTTTGTCTAAAACTTTAATCAAAAATAAATTCCTTTAAGAATGTTTAATTTCGGACATGATAATTAAACAATATGATAATTAATATTATGAACTAATTATTGAACTCTTAAAATATCAAACAAATGGTTAAATAATAAATATTGATGATTAAATATCCAAAAATTATAACCAACATAAACAAGTCGGCAATTTAATAATGAGAAAAGTCGTTGCAAATTTTAAATAATGAATCCAATTTTTATTATTATGATTATCAAGTTTCATCTAAAAATCAGATTGATCATTCGCAATAGTATTTAATTATAAAGAATGTAGGAGACTGTCTTGTTATCGAAGCAATGTGTTTTCTAGAGGCTTCTAGAGAAGAAGATCCTCATATCCCAACAGAGTGCAAAGTGTCATTTTGAGAAACTAACGTCTCACATCCATGACCCGGCTTGACACACGTGTGGGCTTGGCTTATCCCTTAACGTCCACTAAAGCCTTTGAAAGTTAAATGCCAGGAAACCCTTATAAACTCACTCAAGGTTCTTCCTCCCCACATGCACATATGTGGGACAAAGGATCGAATTTATGCAACTTGCTAGTTCCTTTATAATTTCCAACATTTTTTAGTTTGTACAATATTACATGTACATTGTCGGGTATGTTGTACCATGTAAGTGATCACACAACATAGTAATAGAAAATTGAAAATTAGGTTAATTTTCAATTGATATGGTAACAAATTTTTGCCACAAATATCTCAAATTAAATAATCAATAAAACACGACGTCGCGTTTTTATTTCAAGGAAAACATTCACAATTAAAAACACTTAGCATGCAAAGATTGTTTTGGCAAGTTTTTACACACAGCTAGCTTTGCATTCCGACAAAAGCACATTGCATGAAAAGATTGCTTTTGCAAGTTTTTATACACAAGTTGCATTTTTCACCTTTTATATTTCAAAGGTTCTCAATTCTATAAAAAATGTTAAAAAAATTCCACAAACAACCTTGTTCTCAAAATTATCTATCTTCTTTTAGAAGTCAAATAACATATTACACAAGGTGTACAAAACAATTTTTACTTCAAAAATTTTAAATTAATTGATTTGTAAGTGTTAACTTACTTTACAAAAATTAATTAGAAAAACTACATTTTGAAGAAATGTGCCCATCGAACCATGGTGGACTAAGCACGATAGGTTTCTCTCATGGAAACATTCAAGGACGATTTTAATGAGTCGATAGTCAAAGGTTTCGGCAATATGGTCGAGAACGAAAATGGGACGGAAGTAAAAACATCACAAAGATTTAACTAGTTAATTTATACCAATAAATTTTGCATATTTTGATATGAACGTATGAGCCATAAAAAACCACGAACACAAAAAAATTTAGCTCACCAAGAACCATATCAATTTTGCTTGATGTCTTGGTGAGCTACTATTACTATTATTTTGAACAAAAAGTTCATCCATAATTTTATTAATGAATAAAATTACTAGTCCTCTAACATTTTTAAAACTCAAGATATTTCCCAATTAAAGATTTTTTTACTTGTGAGCACATGACATAAGATTTAATTTACGAGTTTTATAGCTTTCAAATAGATTTTCTAAAATTTTGAACTTTTGTGGATTTAAAAAAAGACCAACCATATGGTACGAAATCCGTTAGTCACAACATATAGTTGTTAGATAGATAATAACCAATCGTGTCATAAGGTCATAGGGTGTTATATCGTACTCACGGTACTATTACATTGTCACCTCATCGTCACATTATTTTTTCCTTCATGTTTATGACTTTTGGAAACAATGTTTTGTAAACACTTATGGCTTTTGTGTTGGTTTCAAAAATAAAAAAAATTACCTTGATTTTTGGGATGTTACAAAGTGAGGGCTAGGGTCTACATACCCTTAGCCTCCATCACATCCCTTTCACCCTCAAAGAAACTCTAGCCTCCATTGAATCTTTTTTAAGCTTGGTGGTGTTTTGTGACCTTGAAGAAGAAGAATAAAGGTGTTTTTGAGCATTGATCTAACAAACAAACATCCTCATTATCTTGTTGCACACCTCCTGGTCCTTTGTGACATGTAGTACCGGTTTTTGGATTTACGAGAACTGTGTTGTTATCTGCTAGACTGCGAGGTGAGTTTTCTCACTATACATTGTACTATAGTATATATCCTTGTATGTAGGATGTTGGTACGATGTAGAGATATGTTAGATTGGTAGATATGTATGATTACATGTGTTTGCTGATTATTATTTATTTATTTGCATATGTCGACATATTGTGGTTTCTTGGGTTGAGGCGGTCCTGCTTTGTGTTGTAGGCCAAGATACCCAGGCGATCCACTATAATGTAGGACTTGCGAGGCGGTCCAGTTAGAATATAGGCCCAAGGGAGCGGTCTAGATATTGTAGGCCTTGCAAGGCGGACCAGTCGGCTGTAGGCTCGGTAGAGCGGTCCAAGCATCATGTAGGCCTTGCGAAGCGGTTCAGGCAAACTGTAGGCTCATGTGTGCATGTATTGCATGTGTATTGTTGTGTGAGGTATTTTGGGGGAACTCACTAAACTTTGGCTTATAGTTGCGGATTTCAAATGTTTTAGGTACTTCAGAGTATCGGGGGGAAGGCGAAGGGTTGATCGTACACATCATCATGTGGCTTTTTATGTTGAGAGATGCTATTTGATACCCTGATTTTATCACTATGTTTTGGAAACAATGTTTTTGACTAATGCTTATTATGAAAATGACTTTGAAAAATTTTAAAAATTTACTATGGTTTTTGGGACGTTACATTGTTACTTGTCTCACTAATGTCCTTTAAACTAATAGAAATATAATAACTTCTATTGTGTTTCATTTTGGCTCCCGCATTTGATCTAAAACATAATAATAACCTGTATCATCAATCTTTTACAAAATAAGGACAAACAAATAACAACAATACACTCAAAAAAATTCTTGGTTTTTCTTTATATATACAAAATGGGTGAGAAACTCTAACTGTATTTTTGTGAATGGTATATATATATATATATATATATATATATATATATATATATATATATATATATAGAAAGAGAGAGAGAGAGAGAGAGAGAGAGAGAGAGAGAGAAAAAAGAGCGATTTATCCTAATCCTTTAATAGTTTGCAAAGAAATACCCAAAAATAATTAAGAAAAATACTAAAATATCCTATGAAAGGGCCCTCATGGTCTGCAGTATCGGCTAATGAGCTGTGATTTCATAGCCCATTGGTGATTATGTAGTCCATGATCCCAAAGTATTTAAATCCTACAAATTTGTTTACATTATTTTCACATTTTTTTAAGATTTAGGAATTATCTATAATTGTGGAAGGAAGTTTTACATCTAAGAATTGTGTAAGTTATCAAATCTCTACTTATATTGTTTGTATCTTGTAAGTTCTTATTTCGAAAATCAGATTTATCAATTGTAGATGGTATACACATCTACGATTGTACAAGTCTGTAATGCATAAATTGCGAATTAGTTGTTTGTACAGTCGCAGATGGGTATGTCATGCGATTTCCTCTTAGCTAGTGATTTATATGCTTTAAACATTTGTACCTTATGCCTTAAAAGCTTATACCATCGTACTTGGAAGAGAAGAAATTGTAGATGACATTATCCATGTCTGATTGTACACGTATGTAATGCATGATTCATGCATTAAAGACTTATATTTTCCATCTGCGATTTCCTCTCTTCCAAGTGTGATGGTATAAGATTTAAAGGCATAATGTACAAGTGTTTAAAACATATTCTCCAATCTTAGGTAATTTGTTATCATTGTTTTTTTGAAATCTACAGAAAAGTCTCAAACTTTTAGGAAAAATTTCAATAAAGTCCTAAAAGTTTTTTTTTTAACAGAAAAGTCTATTATTTTGAGAAAATCATATAATCTGTCATTTGCTGTTCAAATATAAAAATGACTTTTTCGTTAATTTGAGCAGAATGTTAAATAATCGGGACTTTTCTGTTAAAAAAAAAACTTTTAGGACTTTATTGAAACTTTTCGCAAAAGTTTGGGACTTTTCTGTATGAGTAAATTACACGAATGGTCCTTATGGTTTGGGATAATTTGCATGTTTGGTTCATATCTTATTTTTTTAACTCAGAAGATCCCTACAGTTTGTTTTTGTTGCGCGTTTGATCCCTGTCTTACCTAAAAAGACTATTTTGTCATTGATTTTTAAATTTATTTAAATAAGGTGAGATAGGTATGGTAAGGTAATGTGAGGTGGAAGTGAGGTTGAGGGTATGCTTATTTAAATAAATTAAAAAATCAAGGGCAAAGTAGTCTTTTTATGTAAGACAGAGACCAAGCGTGCAACAAAAATAAACAGTAGGAACCTTTTGAGTTAAAAAAATAAGGTAGGAACCAGGGACCAAACGTACAAATTACCCCAAACCATAGGAACCATTCGTATAATTTACTCTTTCATTTCCCTTATTTTTTTCAGCGTGCTAACAAAATTTTTTGGGCCAACATAAACATTAAAGGTTCCGGAATTAAAATTTGGAAGTAATAAGTCATCAAAGCCTATAATATATTTTATAAAGAAGTTATTTGCTTGCCATCTGAAATGGCAAAATCCGTTTTTTTCGTAACATTAAATCGCATGTGGGCCCTTGAAATCGTAGCCCGTTATGTGAAATCGCATCCCATAAAAATCTACCTATGATTTCAATCTTTCATAGGCTATTTTAATCAATTCTTAATTTTCTTTTAATTATTTGTTGGCAAATAATAATAAAAAAATTAGACTAAATTTAATTTTTTTCCCTCTCTTAACATATCGTTTTTTTTGTTATATCCAGCGGACCGGCCCTTTCTTAATTGGGTGGGCCTTATCCATCTCAAAGAGTACGCTTTAAAGCTGGGATTTGAAAGGCGCCAAGAGCAACTTCTAACAGATATTTTGTTATTTCACAGGAACTTGTATGATTCCACATTATCCTTTTCCAGTTCTTCACAAATATTTCGAATTTAAACATGGTTTTTTCTCTATCTGTTGCACCTCCATTATCATTCAAGAATCCAAAAGTTTCGAAATTCAGTAGAAAATCACTGAACCCAATCACATCAATGGCTAAAGAAATTCACTTCAATCATGATGGTTCAACCACAACCAAGCTCCTGGTCAGTCGCGTTGTTCATTTGTGATTTATTTCCCTATTGATATCTAAATTATATGTTTCTTCAGATTCATTCAACTTCTCCCATTTATTATCTTTATCCCAATTGGGTACATAATTTGGGATTCGATTGTTGCCAAATTGCGATACTTTGCTGTTAATTTGTGTTTTGGAATAACTAGGTTCTACCATCAACATTCTCGATGTGTAATGAATTTCGTGGGGTTTGGGTGTAGGCAGGCGTGAACATGGTGGCAGAGCTGATTGGAGTTACTTTGGGTCCAAGAGGTAGGAATGTCGTGTTGCAGAACAAGTATGGTCCCCCCAAGATTGTTAATGATGGTGAAACTGTTCTCAAAGAGGTCAGTAGAAGAATTTTTCCTCCATAATTTTTGGTTTTCTTTCTCTTACTTAACAATTGGGCTCATCTGTTGGCTCCTCAAAGAGGTCAGTAGAGTTGTCTTCCAACTGTTTGTTGATTTGCCTCAATGAGATTCATAATCCATTCCACTGTTGATAAACGCTTTATTCAGATTCAACTAGAGGACCCTCTTGAGAATGTTGGTGTGAAACTAGTGAGACAAGCTGGAGCAAAAACAAATGATCTAGCTGGCGATGGGTCCACCACTTCCATCATCCTTGCCCATGGCCTCATTGCTGAAGGTGTAAAGGTATGAAAAAAAAAACATATGTTAATGTCATCAATGGAAGACAAACAGATTGAAACTCAATCACTCAAACCAAGATTTCATTAACTTTTTCAAAATTTCAAGGTTATTGCAGCAGGCATGAATCCTATACAGATATCACGTGGGATTCAAAAAACATCAGAAGCCCTTGTTTCAGAGCTCAAGTTAATGTCTAGAGAGGTGCTGATTAAATAACAAACATGATCCTCTTTTCAATTTCCATTTAATTCTATAAACTTAAATCCAAAATGCCTACCTTGTAGGTTGAGGATCATGAGCTTTCAGATGTTGCCACCATAAGTGCAGGAAATGATGTTGAAGTTGGAAGCATGATTTCTGAAGCTATTAAAAGAGTAGGAAGAAAGGGGATTATCACTATTGAGAAAGGGAATTTTGCTGAAAACAATTTACAGATTGTAGAGGGGATGCAATTTGATCGAGGTTATTTATCTAAATATTTTTCTGATCGAAGAACCATGAAAGTAGAATTTCAAGATTGCAAGGTAAGATTCTTGATTTTTACTCCCTCAATTCCAAAAAGTGGGATTTTCAAGGTAAGTAATTAGAAAAATGTGAAATTTTGTTGATTCCAGTTGCTTTTGGTTGACAAAATAATTACAAATCCAAAGGAGGTGTATAAAGTATTGGACATTGCAGTTAAAAAAGACAATCCAATTGTGATAATTGCTGAAGGAATTGAGAAGGAAGCTTTAGCTCCAATAATTAGGAACAAACTCAAGGGAATAATAAAAGCTGCAGCTGTTAAAGCTCCTGCCTTTGGTCAACGCAAGAGCCATTACTTAGATGACATTGCTATCTTGACTGGAGGTAGTAAAAAGAATCCCTTATATTTTTAAATTTATTAATAACAAAAATGACCACTTTATCAGGTGATATTAACAAATTGATGACCTTTTTAATCAAATTGACCACTTTTTTTTTACCAAAATGACCACTTTATCTGGTGACATTAACAAATTGATGACCTTTTTAATCAAATTGACCACCTTTTTACCAAAATGAGCACTTTATCGGGTGATATTAACAAATTGACCACCTTTTTACCAAAATGAGCACTTTATCGGGTGATATTAACAAATTGACCACCTTTTTGACCAAATTGATCACCTTTATTTTCATGAAAAAAATAAAGTTGAGGTTTAATACGGAAAAAACACATGTAAGGTTTTTTATGAGATGAATTTTAAAAAAATTAAAAAAAATTATAATTGTAAAATTGTTTTATAATTCGGAATCTGTTTAAAAAAAAGGTTATCTTTTTGCAGTCTTTTGTGAGTAAAAGTTAATTTCACATCACATTCATATAATATTGTCAATCTTGATATTTTATTTTTTCACTTTATTAACTATAAAAAATGAAGGTGAAATTATAAAATATAGCCTTTTGTAGGGACTGTGATTAGGGAGGATTCAGGGTTGACCCTTGAAAGAGTCAAAGAGGAAATGTTTGGAAATGCAAGTAAAGTGGTTATAACCAAAGATTCCACATTAATAGTTATTGATGGAAGCACTCAAGAAGATGTGAAAAAAAGGGTAACTCAAATCCAAAACCTTGTTGAGGTATATACACCACTTCATTTGCTAAATAATTTACTATGTAATTCTATAAACTTTTCTCCCAATTTATTTTTTCAGAACACCGAAGAAAATTTTGAAAAGAAAATTCTTAAAGAACGGATAGCAAGATTGTCGGGAGGGATTGCGATTATTAAGGTAACCATGAAAATCTTGAAATTTGATTAAAAAAATATATAATTTAATTTAATGGTTGGATTATTTTTATATGATTAGGTTGGAGCTCAAACACAAGTTGAATTGAAGGATAAACAACTGAGAATGGAAGATGCTGTAAATGCAACTAAGGTAAATGAACTTAATTAGACATAGTCAACTTGTTGACTTTCTATTTTTGTTTTTTTTAGGTTTTAATATTTGTTTAAAATCAAGGCTGCTATTGAAGAAGGAGTTGTAGTTGGTGGTGGTTGTTGTCTTTTGAGGCTATCATTGAAAGTTAATCAAATCAAAAAACTTTTGGATAATGAAGAGCAAAAGGTAATCACTAATCACCATAATCATGTCTCATATTTTTAAAATTTCTTTTAGGAAAATTCAAACTATTTAATATTACCAATCATTCAGTACCTTGTGTACTTGATTTACATCTCATATGGTGTGTCTGTAGAATAACCCTTTTTTCATAAAGAATCATGGGTTTACTTTATTTAGTATTAAAAAAAAATGTATCTTTACATTTTTATTATTATTGAAATTATTTTGGTTGTGAAAATTAAGATAGGAGCCGATATATTCAAAAAAGCATTGGAATATCCAGCAAGGCAAATAGCCAAAAATGCTGGTGTGAATGGTAGTGTTGTTATTGAGAAGGTAACCAAAAACCCTAATTTATATCCATCAATTTAAACCAAAAAACAAAATTTGTGAATTGAATTTGTATAATTTTTTATTTTTATTTTTTTAATTATATTTAGGTTTTGTCGAATGATGATATGAGGTACGGGTACAACGCTGCAAGCAACAAGTACGAAGATCTAATGGCGGCGGGTATTATAGATCCAACAAAGGTATCAATCAAATCATCGGTTATTGCAAATAATTTTATTAAAAAAAAATCAAAATTTGAATAAAAAAAAAATGGTTATGAAATAGGTGGTGAGATGTTGTATAGAGCATGCAGCATCGGTTGCAAAGACATTTTTGACTTCTGACGCCGTTGTGATTGACATGGATGGACCCGTGCCCGAAGGAATGAGACCATCGAAGGAATCGCCAAAGCCGATGCCGATGCCGATTTCGGCCTCGGATAACTCAATTCCGACCCGTAGACGAAATAGAAGCGAAATGAAGCTTAGACTGTAGATAAGAAAATCGAGCAGAAATAGGTACATAACAAACATGTAGAGTGTGAGACAAAATAATGTATCAAATGAAATGTAAATTAACATCAATGTTAGTTTGTTCGCCGATGAAAGACTGGATCCATAGCGGTATGAGCTGACTGTCAATGGGTCGAGTTGGGTTTGGGTTCGGATTGACCTGTTTAATTTATTAAACGGGTTGAGATTTTTAACTCAACTCAACCCGTTTAAACAGATCAGAGTTTTTCAACTCAATCCAACCTGTTAGATAAACATGTTAACCCATTTATTTTTCCCCAACCTAATTTGTTAAATAAATGGGTTTCACATGTGTGAACCATTTAGATTTTAATATTAACATAAAATAAAAAGTTTACACGTAGTCAAAGAAGTTGAAAGACCTAAACAATTGTTCCAAATTGAAAAAGAAACATAATTACATTATAAATGTCCATAATAACATTCTAAATATATAAGACTTTACGGTTTTGTTTTTGTAAATTTTTAATTAGTTATAAGGTTAAATAAAATATGAAATGAAAATAAATATATATTTATAGAAGTTGGAAGGTTGCCATCTAGTTAGACATTTCAACAAAATACATGTCTATTTAATGAAATGATTGGTTGGTTTGATTTGTTAACCCAACTTGTTAATTTTGGGTTGGCAGGTTTATCCAGTTTTTGTTAGCACAACACGCTCTAAACACCATAATAAAAGGAATTGGAAAGAAAAATATAAATGATTTTATGTATTTGCCAACTCTATAGGTGATCACATGGAAGGAAATATTCAAATATATAATTGGTTAGGAGTACATCATCCAACAAACTTATGTATTAGGTGATTAGATGGATGAACCGATGAAGTATATATTTTGTTTGGAGTACTAAGATCTAACAAACATGATAGTTAACATATCATTCATAAATAATAGATTATCCAAGAATAAGAAGTGTTATATCTTAGAATATTCAAAACCAACTTTGTTCATCACTTTGAAATTAAAATATAACTCTAAAAATTAACCCCTCTGAAAAGGTTGCATATAAACAGCAACACGAAATGGATGGAATTTCCTTGCATGATAATTCTTCATATTCCATCATTCATGTTAAGAGATGAAACAATATTCAATTCCTCAAGCATTTCTAGTTTTATTTAAATAATCTTCATCAAAGTTAAATATTGATAGAATATTTTGTGATGATAAATGTGTGTTTCATCTAACTGTGCAATTTGCATCTTTTGTAAACCTAAGTAACACGTGTTTTTTATTATGGTCAGCATGATATTTTCATTTTTAATGAGTTGAAATAACAAAATTCCTAAAAGTTCACCCAATATCAATAAAGTTCACTTTTTACATAACGTATTACAAGATAATCGTTTCACTTAACATGTTTAAATGGAAAGCGATTTGTAAACAATAGTTAAAAGTTAAAACACAAATTGAAGTATATGAATAAAAATTGTTGTATATCAATTAGCTTCTTATTCAAATTGGTAGAAGTGAATAAATATTTCAAACATAATTAAAAAGAGGCCATTAAAGTTTGAGAAGTTTGCATTAACTGCAATAATTAATAAGGTATATAGTATCTTAATAAAAAAATGTTTTATAACAATTAACAAATATAAATATCTAAAATAATTATTAATAACGAACTCTAACCTACTAAATAAACAACATTGATTATTTATGATTCATCATGATATGATTGTTAACGGTTTTCATGTATTTGAGAAAGTACGATTCAGTTATGGTGTTGGTAACAGAAATAGATTCTCATTCAAGACATGAGGAAGAGAAATGAATAAGCAACTACAAGTTACATTTTAGTCCCTGTGTTTTAGGTGTTTTCTGGGTCAGATTAAAAATGATTTTTTTTGCAATTATGGTCCTTGTTGAAGTATATTTGTACAATTTAATCAATAATAATCATACTATAATTCTAATATGACTTTTTTTTGTGCAACAAACATAGATATATTGTTTAAGAGTGAAATTGTTCGTGAAACATATCACTTCATATTAGTTATATTATTCACTAGGTGTAAAACCCATGTATAACATGGGTTAATTAAAAAATTAAATATAAATGTCAAAATATTTAAGAATTTTGGATTTATAAAAAAATAAAAAAAATAATGATTTATTAAAATTGATTTTTTTATCTTTTAAATTTAAATAAATAAACCAAATAAACTAATGTGTTTTAATTTGAGAATTTTGAAATAAGAAGGTAAGTCCATTAATGAAATTGATATTCATTTATTACTACATTTATTGTAATTATTACATTAAAATATTATGTAGAATTTATTAAAATAGAAAAACTTATAAAATGATATGTGGAAAATAAATTAATTCAAAATAACCACAAAATGACATTTGACAAATTAAATGAGAGTGTGACATGTGGCAAAAAAAAACCTTCATTTATTAGAGTAGATTTATTGTAATTATTACATTAAAGTATTATGTAGAATTTGTTAAAATAGAAAAATTCATAAAATGACATGTGGAAAATAAATTAATTCAAAATAACCACAAAATTACATTTGACAAATTGAATGAGTGTGTGACATGTGGCAAAAAAAATTTCATTTATTAGAGTAGATTATTATTATTTTAATAAAATAATGTATTATATTAAATAGCTATGTGTTCCAATTTTTTTATACAACCAACATCAATATTCAGTAAATAATATTATGTATAATATAAAAGCATACTAATATATAAGGTAAAAAAAATCATAATTAATCATATTATGAGTAAGTATATATAGTGAAAACTTCATACAAAAATTTTATATTTTGGCTTGATAATCAATTTAGTATTTATATGTTTTTTTATTTAAGTAAGTCTCAAAAACTGATAATTATATTCATTTTGACCTTTTTACTGGGTCAACAGATCATCCAACTTTTAAAATTTATATTTTTGACATAGATTTTAAATTTTATTACAAATATGGTCCAAAATTTATACTTTTGACTCGGATTTCAGAATTTTGTTAGAAATTTATCAAAAATTTTGTTTTTTACATCTTTTTTTTCCAAAAAATTGTTTTGAATATGCTTTTTTCTATATAAAATCATATTTATACAAAAGAACATATTTCCACATAAAAAACATTCTTTTTTCTATATAAAACCTTTTTTTAAAACATTTTGTATAAAAAATATCTATTTATCAAAACATTTTTTTATTTTAAATACCTATTTATAAAATGTGTTTGTATACATTTTGGTAAAATACATATACATTTTTTTTTTGTAAAAACGTGTTTCTATACAAATGCATTTATTATAAAACAGGTGTTTATAAAAAAATATATACAACTGCAAATACGTTTTTATAAAAACTATATATATATATATATATATATATATATTATATATAATATTATATTAGCAGATATATATATACAAACACGTATTTGTGTGCGTATAAATACATAAACATCTATTAGTATGCATATAAATACATGAACATATACAAATACGTTTGGCTATGAAATAGATGTTTCTATACTTTTTTTTATAAAAATGTGTTTGTACATAATTTTATAATTAAAATGTGTGTTTGCATACATTTTTTTTATAAAAACGTGTTTGTATACAAATGCATTTATTATACAATAGGTGTTTGTATATATTTTTCTTATAAAATACGTGTCTAATTTGAGATGTTATTAGTTATATTCAAATTAAGTTTATCCAATGATACCTTATTGACCTATAACTAGCTCCTTAAGGCTTCATATTTTTGGCCAACTTTCTAAGACTCATATAGCTAAAAATTCACTCTCCTCTCTTCTCTCCTCTTATGTTCTTGTTGCTAAAGTTTTGGTACAAACAATTAGAGACATCATCTCTTTGGTGCTAGTCTTCCAAAGCTTCATAACTACAAAGATTGACTTGATTTGTTTGTTATAACAAATCAAAAGGTATGTAACCTAAACTTTTTAATTTTCGAATTATACTAGGGTTAGGCTAGTTTAGTTGTTCATTGTATGTTGATATCAATGTATATGATATAGATCTTTTATAGGATGCATGTATCCTATTAATTATTAACTGTTTTCTGCATTGTACATATTTGTTATCTATAAAACCCAACAATGATATCAGAACTTAAGTTTGTCAAACATTGATTGCACATGAGATGAACTAGAAAAACCTGTTTTTCATAAAATATGTTTTCACGACATGGCAGTGCTTCTGCCACGACATGGCAAAACGATTTTATTATTTTTCGGTAATCATCTGCTTAATCTAATTTCTGGTATTATTTTTGGTACTTATCTTGTATTGATTCTGCCTGGTTCCGATTTTTGAATACCTTGTGTGATAATTAATGAAACCGAAAATATTAGGAGATATCCTTTTATGATAATATTTAATTAGATAAATTAAAATGAATTATCTCTTACGAGTTTAATAATTAAAGGATAATTATAAATTCATTCTAGGTTTGAATTAAATAACTAATTATATGATAATTTAGATAAATAATGTTTGAACCTTGTATTTTGAAAATATTTAAAATACACATTATACTATATATGATTAAAAGTTAATATATTATATGTATAAGACAAGTCAGTCAAATCAATAGTAGGCCTTATTCACGAAGTCATACTCTAGGGGGGGGTATAAGGATAACGGCCTATAAAATGACCGTTGAATGGGTGTCCAATCTCACCCACTGCTCCCTTGTATGGTGGAGGGTCGTTATCTGAATAGGTTTGATAGGGCATAACCTCTAAAAGTATGATATTATAAAGTAACTAAACCTTTATAAATCCCAACTCTAGTTACTTTAGGACAAAATGTGAAATATATGTGAATCCATAAAAATGCACATCACTCTTTATATGTCGTTAGCGGAGCGTGTGTGGTTAGCCGACACACTAATTTGGGACTATAAAGTTGAGTGATGGAAAAATCGAAAATTATCATTGTTGATGGAGTGTGTGTGGTTAACCGTCATATTAATTTGAGATGATAAATGATATCGATGTTGTCAAGCGGGTTTGCATGGTTATTCACAT